CAAGTATTAAGGAAAGTATTCGGACTGAACAGTTCTTATGACTTAGAAATCACATGTTTTCTGGAGCAGGTGGCTCGTAGCTTGGGTCGGCTGGAGAGCGTCACAAACTTCACAGAGTTTGTGAAAGCGTTCAGCCAGTTTGGAGCCGAGATGGTGGAGCTTGCTCACCTGACGGGGGATCGTCAAAATGACCTCAAGGATGAGAGGAGAAGGGCGCAGATGGCAGCGGCAAGACAAGTGCTCGAACGTTCAACCATGATGCTTCTTACGTCCTCAAAGGTGAGGTCTGCGCTTTGAAATCCAGAGATTTATTCTTTGTGGAAACTGTTGTATTGTAAAATTTTGTCACTTCTGGAAAACACTGAAATGCATCAATTGAAGACTTTGTTTCATAGATTTAGTGTTCATCATGGGGTTTATGTTCCTCAGCAGATATTTTTAGTAGTGAATCTGGTGAAATATTTTATTATTAAAAAGTTAAATAATATTGTAAAGTATATAAAAAAGCAATTTAAAATTATTTGCTGTGTTGAGGGCAGGCACTGACAATGGGCTTAAATGAAAGAGAAATTTTAATGGAAGAGGTGGCTAAATTTTATTTAGCAGAAAGAAAATTGTTGGCAATAGCACCAAGTTTTTCAGAGCAGCAGATGTGACTGAGACTTTTGAGCAAGAAATCTTGTAGTGTGGAAACGGTTAAATATCTTGGCTAACTAATGGCAAACTGTTCAGTAGAACTTGATGATCGCTGTTTACTTCAAGATATAAATTAAGTTTCCTGCTTACAAATTCATATATTCATTGAATCTAAAACTTTTTGTATAGAAGTTATTGAGGTAAGTACTTTATTCTATGAACTTATGTTGTAATGATTATTTGGACTTATATTTCTAGACTTGTTTACGGCATCCTGATTGCCCATCTGCTCGGGAGAACCGTGACACAGTATTCTGTCAGATGAGACGTGCAATGGATCTGATACATTATGTTGTTAAAGATGGAGTGCTGGACTCAGCCGCTCAACTGGGTGATGCCATATCTCCCATGGATCAGCATGGTGCTAATGAGGTACGGTACTTCATACATATGTCATGTGTCGTATTTTGCAAGATGTGAACAGTAAAAGTGCATTGAAAGTCTCAGATGGTGGTCCTGCTTATACAAACTACAGGAACTTTATTTTTGACATAAAACAAGATTTGCTTCTACATTTATAAAATGTCTACTTCAGAGATTAATTTTGTCAGTTCACATTAAAAAGTTGAGATATTATGCAGATGAAGATTTCTGTCTTCTGGGTTGTTGCGCTGTGTAGTCTGGTCGATGTTTACCAACGTTTCAGAGGTCATCCGGGCGATTCATCGCCCTGATGACGGAGGCAGTATGACCTCTGAAATGTCGACCATACTACACAGCGCAACAACCCAGAAGACAGAAATCTTTGTACTCACCGCTGTGAAAACCTCAAATCTTACATTATGCAGATGGTTTGTAGGGAATGACTCTCGAGATGAACAGAGTGTGTGTTTTAGTCATGTACTATAGATAGATTGAAAGAACAAAATTTTCAGTTTTAAGACAGATCTAGGTAGATAGGAAGGTGGAATCTGCAGATTATTCAAGATGAGAAATGGTGGCATGTCTGAACAGGATGACTGGGAGGTGAGTCGAACCGTATCTGGAGCACTGAAGCAGTTGGAGGATCTTGTGGAAATGACTAGACTCACTCTCCTGGGACCTGACTCAAAGGAACGACTAACTCAGGCATTGGACACGATAGTGGAGCGGACACAAGACTTCACCGATTCGGCCTACACGAGTCATGAGCACCGTGAGAACATTCTACTTCTTTGTGACCGTGCTAAGCTTGAACTGAATAAACTTCTGCGTGTGGGAGTCAGTTTGGTAAGTATTTGGTCATGAAACTTTCAGAAACCAGTTACAATTAACATTGTTACAAAAGTGGAACTGGCCATTTCTATCCCCATTGAAAGTTTAGAAGCCTGTGACAGCAGCATGTGACATTTGTATCATCATCTAAATTATGGACATGGTTACAAAGTTTATGTTTAAGTTTAATGACTATAAATACGAGTGTCTCCACTCATTCATTCTTTACATTTATCCTTCCATTCAATGCTATATAATTTTTGTGGTTGAGAAAGTGTCATCAAATAAACAATTCATGCAGGAACAAACAGAGGGCAGTTCGCCAACCCATGAGATGGAGGAGGCAGTTGTTGCACTTCTACAGTCAACAAGGGACCTCAGGCACCAGCTGCAGGCTACTACAATGGCACAAGCTGCAGACCTGACCTCTGTTGTGAATGTTGGGCGTGACATGGTGAATGTCATTCGAAACGTAGCGTTAGCATCTGACACTGACCGTTTGATGGAATGTGCTGACAAGTTCCATGAATACATAGAACACATATTAGAGGTAAGTTACGTGGGAAAGGAACCTAAGTTTGTAATGACTTTATATTTGGAGAAGGGAGGGTTGTTTATCAGATTTGTATCTGTAGCCGCAGTAACAGAAGATGAACTTTGGCTTAGGGTCTTATGTCTTCCCTTTTGATCATATGGGGGTTATCCAGAGATGAAGAGGCCGTTAAAATAAAATATTTAAGTACTAGCATTGTCTTTTGGCACGTTCTGTTTTAGGTGTGCAAACTGTTGCGACATACGGCTTCCACGGACATGCTCCAAGTATCGGCAAAATATGCGGAAATCAACCTCAGGATTTATGGTCCACAGGTTGTGACTGCAGCACATACGCTTTCTATTCACCCTACCTCAAAAATTGCCAAGGAAAATGTGGAAGGTAATGGAAATTTCATATTGGCTTGGCCTATCTGATGTGTGGCTCACATGAAACCAAGTACTGATTCTGATTAAGTGTGAAATTATTTGCTATTACCAAGAATCTTTAGATGAGCCAGGTGCGTGGCTCAGTTCCTCACATATAAGATGAAAATTGCTTAATTAAAAATTAATTTAATGCTTTTAAGGTATTTTAACCTGTTCTTTGTTGTAATTCAACATAATATGTACCTGCAGTGTTTAATGGCAAAAAGTAACTTACGCCCATTGTATGTCATGAACTTACTAGGTAAAAAAGATAGAAATTTTAATGTGACAGATAAAAGGATTTGAAAAAGTAAGTGTATTTTGTGTTCAGTTGAAAACATGTCAGCATCCTATTTTCTTTGATTTATGATGATGCTTGACCTGTGTCGGGAATGGGTGTAGGAGGGAGGTAGGGATTTAAGAGCATGAATACCCTTTCCCCAGTGTTCTGTTGGCAGTTTTCGCCGATATGTGGGACGCACTGATGTCTGATGTGACGGCTGTCACCAAAGATGTGGTTGATCTTTGCAATCGATCGATGGATGACAACAAGCAAGTGTACATGTCCCTTCCTAGGCCAGGGGTAAGTCTTCTCTTGCCTGTTGCAATAAAATTTATTGTTTTGTGTAATGTAAATGTATATTGTGGTCATATGAACTGTGACGCCATGTTGCTTCATACATGGTGTCACAATCTACATTTTCAACACTGAACACCTCTGATCTTACATTGTATGTACATGTTCAATTACCATAACATCGAAGATAGGGATGTGTATATAAAACATTAATTTTGCCATTCTTTTGTATGGTTTTGAAATTTACTTTGGGGTGGGGGGGGGAGTTGCAAATTTCTAGAAACAAAGTGTCTTAAAAAAATGAAGTGATTTTTATTTTAATTTTTCATAACAAGGAATTGTGTGATTTATACAAGTTGCCTAATATTGTTAGGATATTGAAATCTAGGAGGCTTTTCGATAGGATTGGGGAGGTAAGGAATACATTCAAAATTTTGATGGGAAAAGTGCTTGAAAAGCAACCACTTGGAAGACAAAGAATGTGAATACTGATCTTAGGGAAACAGGTTGTAACCATGGAAAGTTAATGGAACTGGCTCAAGGTTGTGTACAATGCTGTGTTTTGGTATTGGCAGTGTTAATTCTCAAGGTTTGGCTATCAGAGAGTTAGTTGATAGTAGTGCAGTTCCTATATTTAACACTCAGTCTCAAAAATAAATTTACACCAATTCTGAACTCACCTTTGTCTTTCTACATATATTAACATTTTTCTTTCCTCTTTTTAATATTAATCAGCCAGACTTCACCTATCAGTTTAAAGATTTATTGGCATGCTAGTGCATGGCTTATGTTCAGAATGCATTGTTTCAAGTTGTCTGCATAAATTTACACAAGACAGAAGTTCTTACCCTCATCACTTGTTGCAGAGGGTCTGTAAGAGCATGCTGTTTTTGGTAGTGTACAATTATGACATTATTATGTGGCTATATGGTTTAAATTGTATTGTCTGTTACAGAAACATGGGACAACCAGTAAACCCTTGAAGCCTGCACGATTAGATTCTGAGGTAATAATTAAACACGAGAATTATTGTAATTCTGGCTAATTATTATTTGCAAAATTAAGTGATTGTGGATAATTATTATTTTCTTATCTGTTTTCCATCTGCCCACCTCAATTCCCCTTTTTAATTTTAATTATCATCACATATACAGATGAAGTTGTCATGCGAGTCCTATTATTTTCCCTTTTTTATGATAAGATTTTACTGTATGGGCCTCTATGTGATGAAAATCTCCATGACAGTGTGTTGGACACTAACGTGAAATTACTTCGTGTTAACAGGAACAAGCTAAAATTGCTAAAGCTGGCCTTGAAATGAAGCTGATTACATCAGAGATGGATGCAGAGACAGACAAGTGGCAGGAGAGTGGTGCGGGCGGTACTGCTGTGGAGGAGAACAATGACATTGTGAAAAGAGCCAAAAACATGAGCAGTATGGCCTTCTCCATGTACCAGTTCACAAGGGGGGAAGGTGCTCTGAAGACAACGCAGGACCTTTTCACTCAGGCAGAGTACTTTGCGGAGGAGGCAAACAGGCTGTACAAAGTGGTGCGCCAATTCTCATACCAGGTATGGCAACTCTTTCATTTACAGAGAGATCCATTTATGTGTTACTGCTTGAGGTCCATTATTTATGATATAAATTGTATAAAACAGACCACTTGGGACACCCAGACCATAATTATGTGGGTAATATTAAGATAAACCCTAGAAAAATAGAGTGTAAAGATATAGACTGGATTAGAATGGTTCCAGATGTGGCTTTTATGCACATGGTAATGTATTGTGGGTTTCATAAAAACAATATCTTGAGCAGTTGTATGTCTATAAACTGCTCAAGAAAGATCAGTTCAATCAGTCCTGATAGCAAACCTGTCTTACGTGAAAAGGTCAGTTGTAAGTCAGTCCTGGTAATAAACCTGACTTATGTGTAAAGCACAAAGCCACAACACAGTTAATACAACTTTGTGTAGGAGGTGTAGCTTTATGGTAATTTAAACCCTGTGAGTTTTTGCGCCTTCTGAATTTAAAAGTAGGTTTATGACACCATTTCATTGATGTATGGCATTTCACTGTTGATATATCTGAAAGTTTGGTTGATGTTCATGTTCAGGTTCCTGGAGGCATACATAAAAAGGAGTTACTGGAGAACCTGGACCGTGTTCCTACTTACGTGCAACAGCTGCAGTTCACAGTGAAGAACCCCACGGTCGGTAAAGCTGCCACCTTCACCAAGGTGGACAGTGTAATTCAGGAGACTAAGGGCCTTATGGATGTCATTTCCAAAGTGGTGACAACATGTTTCACATGTGCCACCAAAGTAAGTGACAGTATCTTAAAATTGGCCATAATCACACAACACAATGGCATTAATATATTGAACTGTTGGTACCATGTCCTTCCAATACCTGCTGCATTTAGTTTATATTTGGGGTCTGGCAGTGGTTTTTTTTTGAAGGTCAAAATGTTCCTATATATAGTAAGTGTGTCAAACATTGGTTCAAAGGAAATCCAGCTTTCTTTAATGGAATAATATGAACTTTCTTGTGTTTTTAATTAAATGTATGTCAAATTGAAATATGTTTGTAATGAAAGTTGAGGTACATGTTTTTTATGATGCACTGTTTTGAAAAACTTGATAAAATATTGAGAACAGGCTTATTGAACAGGTAATTATAATTATCTTCACTGTGTTTTATTTTAAGATCTGTTTCATTATTATTCTTGGATCTAAAACTATTTCATATTGCTCCTGCAGTATAACCTTGACTTCCGCGGACTGTCATCTCGCAGTGGGGTCTCTGGTTCCCCGTTTAGAGAGGAGGATGGAAGTGGAGTAGGACCTGGTGGCGAGGGTGGAAAGCTGGGCAGCGGGTCAGGAACCGACCCATCCATCTGACAGTTTGGGATGGCCCGGCGGGCCAAGGGAGATGCACGGCGCACGCGAGTCTCATTCTTGCTCTTCTAAATGAGCAAGATCCATCTTGGGTTCCGTCAACTCAAGAAGAGTCACCCTTCAGTAGGGGTATTTGATGGCTGCATACACCAGCTTTGTTTCAGGGTCCTGTTGGAAGGTGAGATGCTGGATTTCAGGGTTCAGGCATGAGTAGTCTGTGGGTTTGGTTGGTATTGCAGTTCTCTGCTGCCATCATTGTCATCATCATCACTGCCGTCACCACCCTCACCCTAATAATCATCATCATCTGTTGCTGCTGCAACAGCCCAACTCAAGTCTAGGACTCCTTTGTCAGGGAGTTTGTAAAACTTTATTGAGAAAATGCTACTAGACTTTAGGTAATGGATCAGATCATTAAAGGAAAACGCAAGAAAAGCAAACAAATGTCCATTCCTGAAGCAGGACTGGAGCCTGTAATTTGAGCGGTCATGTGGCCCAAAGCAGTGCATGCTATAGACCATGCATGTAATGAAATTGTATATCGATTTTTCAGTCATATAAGCTTCTAAATAGTTTACACTTTCAAATTTGTTTCTTTCAGCAGTATGGATTACTTTATTCCTATGTCCACTTTATTGAGACTTAAAATGCATAACTGACTACTATACCTTTAGAATTTATATACCTTCTGTGTGGATTAAAATGTATTATGCTGTAATTTTCTTGTACTGACAAAATTATATCTGGATTCAGATTATCTGAGGTTTTCTCATAGTCAGTAATTAGTAGGTTTTGGTTTTATTTGCATTTCGGATATTTTTTGGAGTGTAAATGCTGCATTTGTTCACTCTCTTCCTTTCCTGAACTTCAATTTTTAGATTCTGTGTATGGAATTTAGCTCCTTGGCAGTTGTTGTGGTGATTTCAAAATGTTTTAAGTAGGCTCAAGTTTTGATATGTCCAGTGCCTCCCATGGCATCTTATTTTCAGATCATTGGTTTTGGTTGTAGGACTGTTAGTGAACTTCATTGTGGTACAGTAACCACTTGTTTGTGAAATATTTCAAATAAAACAATGTTGGTGTTTGCAGCCATTTTGTGCAGTTGGAAGGGAGAGAGAAAAGTGCCTTGTAGTTCTCGACCGTAAGAACTGCTGAACTAGAATCAGCGACATGAATTCTGTGACAGATTTCCAGCTTTCATAATGCTTTTCCTCTCTCTTTTTAACTGTTGGAGATGGCACCTTCCTGTCTTTCTCAGGATGTGATTATAGAAACCTCAAACCAACTTCTGTGAAGGTGTGTGTCTTCCAAGATGCTACACAAAGGATTGTTTGATGTAAGAAGTTGACTGCAAATGGTCGGTAAAACATTAATCTGTTTTATGTTGAGAATGTTTTGGTCAGATTAGCTGAAGCTCTTTCTGGCCAGTTGTATGTCACAAAGTGTGAAGCAAGAATTGCTGGATACAGTTAAGACATGCAGACTGATACTGGGAAATTTATTAGTTGTTTTCTCAGTTAAATTTGTTGTTGCATTGAGAAAAGTTGGCTCTTTGTATTCACTGCATTAGACAGAGTTGATCTTGAATGGTGGCCAAGTACAATGTGATTTTTATCACAAAAGGAGTGCAGTGTTGATATACAAGCCATATCCATTCTGATTTCTATTTTCTCTTTGTACTGGGCATTTTGTATTGAAGGAACAGACACTACTACACATTCCTATGCAAAGGGAGAGAAACTGGGACCCCTCAAACAGATTAAAGTCTGTTTTTTGTGATGTATACATGTTGCCACTTTTTCAAAATTGTCCTTTTACTGTCATTGCACACTTTTAAACTTAAATAACATTGGAAATACATATACATACTTTAAGTGACACGTGAGAACACTGTTAATAAAGTTACCGTTTGTTACTTATATCTTCTAAATGGTTGGAAACAGCAAAAATATGTGAATAAGCTAGTAGCATAAAAAAATGTGAAGTTTGAAAAGGAATGAAACCATGGTATGTTGCTAAATTGTTTCCTGCAACATCTGGAACCCTTTACAATGACGGCAAAGTTGAGTAATGCATAGAATATTTTAGTAAGAAAATACAAGGAAGAAGTCAGTTAGGAGACCATACATAGATTTAGGATAAAATAAAAATTGCTATTACAGAAATATGGTTTGATGGTGTGGACTTGATTCAGCTGATTCTGGTAGCATCCAGTAGTACAAAATGTCACAGCTAAATGGTTAGCACTTCTGCTAATATTCAAGAGACTGCAGTTTCAAAAAATCCCACAAAACAGCTGTTATTGAGCTTTTTATGGAATTCTCACATTTTGCAAGTAAATACTGAGAGACTCGTGATAATTAACTAATTCATACCGGTTCGTGATTCCCATCATTATTTCATCATATTTGTATGCAGTGGCAAACTAAATGCAAGCATAGCCTCATTATAAATTTGGTGATATTGACAATATACAGGTGCTTCATGCATGTTCATGCATTTTTCCTCTTAAATAAAATTTCAGTCATTGTTTAAAAATCTTTAAATTTCCACTTGAAAAACTTGTAATTCTTCTAAAATATGTCTGCTATTGTGTTTATCTACACAAGTAATGAAAAATCATATTGTTCTTGTAAATGTAATGTGTGTCATTATTTCTGCTCTTGTAACTATAATAACTTTCACAGAGTATGTGGTAACACATGATTTACATTTGGAAGGTCCTAGAGTCAAATCATGGGGTCGTCTGTCCTGAGTATGGTTATACTTACGTAGATCTCTCTCTCCAAACTAATGTTGACAACATTCCATGTCATCTACCACAAAATCGTTCCTCATTCATCGTTCATGTTCACCATGTATGTCATTGTGTCCGTAAGGCTCACAGCAAATATGTTAAATGTAAAACTATCAAAACAGAAGTTCTGAAATGCTATTCATTTTCCATTTCTCCCATTGCAAATATAAGGACTGTGTGAGTTATGAGCTGCAAGTTCTGTTCCATGAAATAAAATTGGACATATGCTGTAAATGTTTTTAATGGTAACCGAGGATACCGTGACAATGTGACAGCCCAGGCTACTATTTTTACTCTTGGTGTTTGATTAAACATTTACAGTAACTTTTTTAATATTTGTGACTGAAAAGTACTTGAGTCTAAGGTTTAAAGCCTTCCTGAACACATTAAAATGTTCAAAGCTGCCTCAATTTTAGGTTGTTAACAAGAACTGCAATGTTTGTTCCTTATTTATGAAACACCCTATACAGGATGCTTGTGAAGCCATGTTGCTATGTCAATAATATCTGTGTTCTTAGCAGGCAGGTTTGTTGATTGTATGTAGTAACTGAAGAGGAATGAGTCTTTGTTAGTTGGCTCACTAATTGCTCATATACTGAGATAAAAAAACTCTACATGGGGAGAAAGTTGAGTGGACTAAAGGATGCTGGTATTTCAGTAAATAATATATTGTCTGTTGCCTTAACTGCAGAGAGAACTACAAATATCGAGGGCTGTTGTTTTCATTCATGAACTGTGACTGAATTTTCTGACATCGTGGGTATGTCTTTGTAATTAATGCCTGTTTACCAATACATTCACCATTATTCACATGTCTGGAAATTCTACTTCTGTACCAAGCACTTTACTACCTGGGATGGTTTTTATGCCATAAAATGTAAATTAACCTCTTTAAGTCTAAGAAAGAGGAGGCATTACAACACATCTTTTATTTGTTTGTTCTACATAAAATCTCCTGCAATGACATAACCACTTTTATCATTTGAGTAGCTATTTCATGAACGCTGACTCAGATCAGTGGCTCTTTTCATTCATTATAACCTCTGAGAATGTCACTGCATTGGACACCAAGCTAAATAGAGAACTGGCTGTGCGTTGATAACGGGCATGGCCATATACTATAATATTATTGGTACCTTACGTGTTAACACAAAAGAAGTATTACAGAAATCATTAACAGACTTTTAACATGCAGACTTTGTTTCATTTGCTATACAGAAGCTTCTTAATCTCAAAACAGTGTCTGACAACATGTTTTTAGTCAAAATTTAGTTTGAGATGTTTCAGAGGTTAGAGGTGTAACTAGGACAGGGCGAGTGGAACAACTGTCTTGGGCGCAGATGATAAAAATGAGTGCATTACTGCAACACTTTATTTTTTCCATTTTTACACCCATACTTTTTCTTACAACCAGTCAATCAGAACCATCTCACAAAATTAATTTTTCTTATTTTGTTTAAACTCTTTCTGCTGCATGTTTTTCCCATAAGCTAATGTTGCACACTTTGTAAGTAATTTTAACAGTAAATAGTCAAGATCTATTTTAAATCTGATCTCATTATTATAGATCAGATTGGGCTACAGACAAGTGGTTTGAACTCTGGGATTTTATACTTCAGTGTTCCTTCAGTTCACAGCAACAATAATAACAATTAACTGTTTTCTTCTCAGAGCAGCATGTGTTCTATAATATGGTTGTTATGATGTGATGGTGACTAAGTTGTGATTACTGTAGGTGGCTGGGGTTTCACAAGCATAAACATTGTAACATAACATACTGTGAAATGCAGTACAGTGCAAGTGTTGCCAAACACTTGACATCGTTATCATCGATATCACATTGTTTTCCTCATGTAAAACTACCCAGTACAATACATTGTTTGAACAAGTTCCTAGGTAGAAACTGGGAACTAAGACATACTCGCAAAGTACCACAATAGACTTAAAAAATGTGTTTTATTATTAAAATCGATGGCTTCCCAGATACATAGCATTGTATAATTATTAAGAAAAAGAATGACATCCCAATTTACAATGTATTATTATTGTGATTATTATTATTACTATTATTGTTCTTGATGATTGTAAGTTTACCATGATTACCATTTGTTACCAAAGTGCTTCCCAAGAAGTAACATTCCACCATATATATCTTTATGGGAATGAAAAGTATAGAGTTAGTATTTATTATTGCACTTGTATGTGTGTGTGTATGCGTGTGCGCATGTTTTTTTTATATATATACTAAGCATTGGACACAGAACATTTAATTTTGCATATCAGGGGTCCAATGCGGAAAATGTCATTTCATTCTCACTGTCTTGTTGTCATAATCATATCACCACCTTAGTTATCAGAATCATCAGTGATCAGAATATACTTGTATTGTGTTTGTGAATTGGTAAAATATTTACTGTGACATTTTAAATAGTGTTGTTTATTTACCATTTTACCTGCTGGGTTGTGAGGGAAGATTGATAGTGTTTGGTGAGAAAACTTTGACCCAAGAATGACATGGCAGGGAAATAGACAAAATTATGAGAAACTTCATGATGATGTACTTTTTACTTAAAAGCCATTAAATCAAGGAGGATAAATTGGGTGGAACATGTAGCATGCATGGGAGAGGAAAGACACATGTTCAGAATTCTGGTAGAATAGAAGGAAGACTACTTGGAAGCCTAGGCTTAGGTGGGAAGATGTATTGAAATGAATCTTAAAGGAAGAGGTGAAGTTGTGAACTGGACTGAATCAGAATAAGGTCCTATAATGAACTTTTGTGATTACAGTGACCAGCCCCTGGGGAATCTCTAGTTCAGCTGAACATCAACTGCTCAAATCGTTATAGTATGGAGTTTTCAAATGTCTCCCAGAAGGTTCAAGATTATGTTCAGCTATGTGCACATGTTGCAGTGGCAAATGCAGCTGCAGACTGTGTACAGCTTTGGCTTTTGGGGATGAGCCAAGTTGAATGTTGAAAGTTATCCGTTTTGGCAAACATGGCAGTTGCCATCTTCAGGGTGAATATGTATGCTCAGGCATTGTGGCAGTCTTGTATAGAACAGGCAGACACCAGAGAAGATGATGTACATTACAGATAGTCTACCCAAGGCATGAAGCAGGTAAGGTAAATTCCACCATTTTCAATAAGCCTGCACGCAAGGTGAAGCTGGAAGTCTTGTTATTTTGGGACCACACACGAGGAAAAAGCTTTTCCATGTATAGTTAATTCCCATAACTTATTACCTTTTATATCCAGTGTTACACAGTTCAACCCTAAAATTGGAGATGAACATGTTGCTAAATGTTCCTGTCCTACCTTCAGTGGATTTCTAAGACATCAAAAAGTTTTAATAAGCATATTTTAACATAGTCTGAAGTGACATTAAAATATGCTAACAATTGTTAATGGAATAAATAATTTTTAAAACTGAAGTGTAGATGGGATGACATAAACTACTGACATTTCAGCCCAGGAACATTTGCGTATTTTACTTGCATGGTAATTTAATAATAAAATAATCCAAGTTTGTGAAAGAGAATATCAGCACCTTCCAACAGTGACTTGCATTTCATGTTAAGGTATCCAATGTAAATTGTCACCTTGGTTTGTAATTTCACTTATAATTTTTTTCATTCATCCTTGTCAGGCAGATGGAGGCTAGAAAGATCAAAATACTGTAACAGGAAGTATGTAGAAAAAACATATAATTCTTTAAATTTCTCTACATTCATACAAATAATGTATGTTATACAATACGACAGCTAATTTACATTACCATTGAAGTAATGACTGACTATGAAGTAAGTATGATGTTAATTGACACACTATTACCAACTCAAAATCAATGTTTGACATTGGTGTATTCTGTAATCATTACTAACACTGTAATGAATATAAAAGGAAAGAAAAATTTGGAGTGATACATGCACAATGGATATGACTGGCTGTGCCTCTTGAGTGCTTTTATTTTACATCAATCAGTCCCATTCTTTAGACACTAATAAATTCAAAGGCTACTCTTTAAGTTTTCCTGGGTTTCAGTTTTCGTTTTGTTACATTTATAACTGGTTCAACCATAACTGCATCCGCAGCACTGTGATCGGAAGTTGGATTAGTCACTCTACTGCTGTTGACACCTGTTGTTAATGAATTGCTCAGAGACTGTGCAATCCAATTAAGAAAGGGCAATACTTTTTGCTGATTTAAATAAACGACAAGTCCAATTATCATCAATGGAAGTGCGAGATATGAAGAATGTCCTAATTCTTGCTCCAGAATCTTTAGTTCTGGTTTGAACAAGAGTTTAACCAGTCTAAATGAAACATTAGCTTTGAAATGAACAGCATGAGTTTTATATGAGTGAGTTGATTGTGGTAGAGTGGACTCAAGCTGAATGAAATATCCTTGTCCATCTGCAGGAAGTGAAGGGAAGACGAGCACTGCGATGTTGGTGTCTATGGTAGATGGTGATTTTTTGCTTGGGGAGTTCAGTTTTATGGTGTGAACTGGAGAATCGGGTGCGTCCTCTCGGCAAAGTTTTGTACGAAGTGTCCGTAAATGTTCTGCATTTGTTGCCTGTACTTGTACCGTTAAATCCATTTGATGTAATGGATGGAATACAATGAGCCTCAGGCCTGTTACATCACCATCAGCTGCCTACAAGAAGAAGAAAACCGTGTTTCATAATTAGTTTTATAGTCTGTATAGTTTAAAACTGTGTAGTAAAGATTTTAGCAAAGCATTTTATAATGAAAACATGCAGTAACTTATGCATAATCATTTTATAGATCTAATAATGACTTGAGTACAGTTGAAACACGCAGTCTACAGAAATGGACATTTCACATTAGTATAAGGATGTCCAAAAGTAATGGTGCTTAAAAACACAAAAAGTTTATACTGGCTAGTTAATATGTTTTAAGTAAACTTTACTGTGCTGGTTATTTGCAGCTGTAAACAAATTAAAACAAAATTATAATTTAAACTGACTTGATCAACATTTTTACAGCATCCTCCAGACCACTTGGATGACAGATTAGTTTGTGATAACACTGGAAGTCCATAACTGGACACAAGACTCCTTAACTCAAGTCTCTTGCTGAACAGAAGTGGTGAACTACTGCAGCTCAAGAGGAACCAGTTAAAACTTGTGAGTGGACTGCAAACAGGTCACTGTCACTAAAGGATACCGGGACTGGGTAAAGAATGAACTTGCAGTAGGTGCCTAGACTAACGAGAAAGCCATGCATGTATTGCGTTACTGTGACTTTGTGTGGGACTTAAGTACTCTTACTCTGGAGTCCATCAGTTAAACCCCCAGAAACTTTCATAAGGTCCCAATCAGTAATTTATTCAAGGTGCTGGATTTCTTATGGGATAAATGATGGTGATACACCATAAGTATTGGTTGCACTACAAGGAAGGGTGTTCAAAGGACAGGGTGGTATGGACATGTGTTATGCATGGATGACAACATGATTCCCTTTGGAGCTTCAAACAAGATGTTAAATAGCCACTGGAGCAACAAAGGGAGAGAAGACATATTTAGAAATATGGAGAAAGTTTGCTACAAAATAACCCACATGTGATAAATGGATGATATATGCCTAATTTCTTCCTTGATTTTGGTTTTCTCTGGAAATTTTTGAAGTAGAATATTGCTCTTACATCTGTTCTGTTAACAACAGTGTAGCCATGTATTTAGGTTATGTGTTCTACTTGAATTTCATACCTTCACAGGGATACCATCTGGTGTTGATCGTAGGATATTCCGGTTGATCTCTGAGCCATTCTTCACATGGACAACATAAATGCACTGAAATGTAAGACAAAAAGTATTATCTAGCATTAAAGATAATAATTTTACTTTAATGAAAATGTAACAGAATGGAAAATAAAAAACTTATTCCAGGGGGTCAAAATAGATGGAAAGAAATACAAATAAGAATAATAATAAAATAAAGAGTAGAACAAATTCAGAACATTGAATAATGTTGGTTCTGTTTCTGTACATATACAACAACCAAAATATTTTAGGCTAGCAAATGTGTCTTTTTGCATCATTCTATGTTGTCACCCACGTAACAAACATATTTACCTCCGGTTGCAGACCTCGGATACGGAACTGTCCATTTGGCTCAGTGCTGCTCTCTTGCTGGAAGTGGGAGCATTTGTCTTGTCCTACTGCCTCTACAACAACACCTTTTTCTGGCTCACCGTTCAGTGAAGTCACCACCCCATATGCACTATAAGCCACTCGATGTCCACTGAAACCCATTCAGCATTGCAACTATATTCTGATGGTGATATTAACAGTATATCTGTAGCATCAGCTCAGTAAGTTTTGCTTTAATTTTAATCCTCATAATACTTACTTTAATTGCACATTGACAGTAGCCCCTTCTTCCACTTCAATCATCTTAGAATGAGGCTCAAACCGATATTCCTTCAACATAGGTCGCAAGAAGTATTCACTTGGGCTTAAAGAATTGAATGTCATCTTACCATCTGCTCCTGTCTGACTGTTACGACGGAAACTTTCGCCACCAGACAGTGATAATAAAACGCCCTGTCAAGATAGTACATTTTCATTACATAATACAGTGTTTCCATATGTAATCCTTGAAATCAGGTACTAGTCCTTTGTAATGATTTTGGCCCAAGTAAAAAAACTGTTAGGAAAAGGATGTAGGAAACAATGGTGTCAAAGCAGAACCCCAATCATCTACAGAAACTGGTATCATTGAACACAATGAGCTTGATGTCCAACACTTATGCCATGAAAATCCAGTAATAAAAATTAAACATAATACTAGTTCTTTTGACCTTCAAATGGTTGATGTGAATATAACTTATCCAGAGTCAATAAAATAGATAAACGGACAATGAGACGAGACAGCGGTATGAACTCATAGCACAGTGAATGCCTTTTTGTTAATGGAGACATGCATTTATTGAACAAAACAAAGATGCTTTTCTGTAATGTCTTTTTATTTGAAGAAATCATGTGAGGACAACTATGTACGGGAAAGAACTTGTTCAAGTTCAGTGAAATATACAAGTAACTTACTTGCAGCGGTTGGCCATCAGCTTTATCTATAACTTCAACAATTACTTCAGCCAACTTTTGGGCATTGAAATTTCCATTTGTATCTGGTCCTGTTAGAACAAAGCCTTCCTTTTCTGCTTTTACCCTGAAAGCAATCACAAAGTATGAGTAATATAAAAGATAATTGATTATCTGGTTATGTAATTAAGATTCAGCATATATAGTCTGCGCTACTGAATAAGCATTGTTAAATAAACTATAAATAAAGAGTTTATATGGCATTAAGTGCGAGGAGCTTGATGAGATTTCAGGTTCTCTTGGTGACAAGCATGAAGGTGGCTGTCTTCTGATATTTTGTGCTGTGTAGTCTGACTAATAATGACACATGTAACAAGGGTGACTAATTCTGAGGTTACCTAACAGTAGTGCTGGGAGTATGAAATCATAGATGCTTAGCAAGGAAGGAAGTATTTTTTGTTACTTTCATGCCATTATGCTGGAATCTGCCTGAAGGAACTGAGAAACGTTGACAAACTTAGTCAGGAGAGTCAATAAATAGAATTAATATAAAGGAAAGGAGAGGGAATGTAGAAAAACTGACAACACAAAAGTAACACTGATGAGAAGAGAGAAAATATGCATTTCTTCATACTGTAAATATTTTTTTAGGAATACTGGTAATAAATTTAACACATTCATGCCCAGATAGCTTGGTGTCTGTCTGCCTACATAACTTTGTGCATTATGTATTATTTTATCCAACATAACATGATGCAAATATTGTTCAGATTTCCAGTGCAGTGTGTTGGGACAATAATGTCTCATGAAGCACATTCCTTTGTGCAGGAAACTCTCGTCTGCCCACCATACTGCTCACAAAGGCAAAACAAATTCTTTTTTAAATTTCCTTCCTTTGTTCCTGTTTAACATTTATTGAGCATGTGTGACCATCTTAGCCACTGTCCAGCTGCCCATATGTCAAAGCAGCATATGACTACACTGTTAACTTCAAAGTTAAATTCTGATTGGCAACCCCAAATTACAGGAGTTTAAATCCCCTACTCTCATTCAGGTTCTCTAGATGATGATGGCACAGGGAGGATGAGAGAAATCAACACTACTAGACATTTATTAAATGACAAGTCCACAATTTTAGAGCTAATCCAAACTGCTGTATTCAAAATGAAGAAAAGGCCAGTTTATATATGTGAATAATTCAAATAAGAATACCTTCCCTGTGAGCATGATTTCTACCTGTAATCCACCCCTCCTTGCAGAGGACCAATCTTAAACTTTCCATCTTCAGCAGTTTCAGTCACAACTACAACCTCATCACTGGATCCCTTAGTGACTGTGACCTTGATTCCAGCAGATGGTGGAATGACTTGACCTTCCACAAGCTGTCCCTTCTCTGCATACAACTCCACAGCTGTGCTGACACAATCATTTGCACCAACCAACAAGCCTCTTGGAGGATTGAACAGCAGTACTGCCGCTGTGGGCTCCAGTACCAAGCTCTCGCCCTCCATAACCATTAATTCAAAGTTATACATTAGCATCCCATCAGATTTTGGCACAGGAGTTAAAGGTCCCAGCCTATGGAAAGAAAGAAAATCTGTATCAACCAATGAAAAAGGTAAGAATATGATCACATCACCAGAATGTGGGACAAAACTGTAAAATGAAAGACAACGAAACACTCTTGCTTCATATTTGGCAAGTCCCGGATTCAAATCTCAGCCCAGAAACCAGCTATCCTGACTGGGTTTTTCGTGGTTTTCCTCAGTCCATCAAGGCAAATGCCAGGATAGTACCTGAAAATTAGTCAATGACTACTTCCTTCCACATCCTTTCATTCAACATATAGTCTGAGCTACTGAAAAAGTGTCATTAAATAAACTATAAATAATGATGAACCTACAAATTTGGTAATATTAAAATATGTGAGAATGACAGTAACAATTCAAATTACATTCACAAAGAAATTACGGTTGAACTGAATTTGGAGAATCATTGCTATCTTCCTATATCACATCCAACAGCCTAAATATTAAAATACATAAAACTACAATTTCACCTGTTGTTTTGTATCAACATCAAACTATCTCTCACTCTAAGGGATGAGCATGAACTGAACAAACTGCTGAGGAGAATATCAAGACCTAACAGGAAGAGTAGCTGGAAGAAATTACATGATGAGCTATACAATTTGTATCTATCAAATATGATTGGGTTGATCAAATCAAGGAGGGTGAGATGGATGGGACATGTAACATGCATGGAGGAAATGATCTACTCCATTAAGGCATATGTAATTTGATGTGAAGGATTATAAAAACCTAGCAGTATTTTGCTGAATGCAGTTATGTATGGCAGCAATGCAAAACTATTAGGTAATGGGACTCTACGATAGTGCAGATTATGGACAGATAGAGTTCTATAATTGATAATTTTTTAATTACAATTGATTTTCTTGTGTAGAAAGATGTATATGACGGAAAGTTGGAGTCAGGAGTTCTTATCTGAACATCTTCATCTCTAGATAACTTCAGAATTATGTGAATGCTGTACCCTAACCTTGCCTTTAATTTTTGATCTTCACTTGACAGCACATTAATAAATATATCCTTGACATTTTCAGTTGAGAGAACTCTCCCACCCATGGTATGTGCAACAGCCATGAGTTGAACAGAAGAATTTGCTGCAGCCATAGAGTTCCATCTTACAGATGTCTGTGGGTACCCGTGACAGCCAACTGGTGTGAATTCATAGGTTCCAGCTTGAGAAACACATGATTTCACAGTTCCTCTCTTCACTCTGAAGTTACGACCAGTTGTAGGTGAGTTATCAGAGGATAGTAATTTATACTGCACCTGAAAGAAGCCACAGTATTTTCCAGATATATTCCTTGATGACTTTGAGAAGTGCTCACTACTATTCAGTCCTAAAAATCTAAGATTAAAATACACAAAACTAATTTTGTGTGCTGTTTTATACTAGTGTAAAATATGGTTTCTCATCCAAAGGAAAGAGCATAGTTTGAAAGTGATCAAATCTTCTTCGGTGATAAGTCATACCAATTTACAGTATAAAACCAACATGTCAGAGACAGTCTCTGAGACTCTGCCTTCTGGTCTGGATTGATGTGCCTTTACCCAAAAAACAATATTTTATTCGAACTTCGTGTATGTAGGGACAATTAGTCATTTAGTTTTGTTTCTTATGTATTTCAGAAAATTATTGCCAAAATGGGAAAGAAATCATTCAATTATTTGTTTGGCTGCTTCTTAGATATATGCTAGTGTATTTTACCTCAGTCTCATGGCTTGATATGAAGGTGACAGTGTACCCGACTTGTTTGAACGGCAGGACGGTAGACTCTGCTGTACTAACAGACACAGTGTGACTAGATGATTCCCAACACCACTCATCCTTGTCTATAGACACCTTATACTTTCCTGGCAAGATTTCCTCAAATATATAGCTCCCATCTGAACACAAAACCAGTACCAACACATTAAGCAAGAGTTGTGATTTCCCATCAGTCCATGTTTACTCAACTTCTAACTGAACATTAGAGTTGAATGGTTAGTTTAAATTCCCTTCCTAATCCATGATCAGCGGCTTTCATTATTTATTTTTGATTTATGGTTTCTTTAACAACACTGTCATACGGTATTGAATGATAAGATGAACTGGAAAGAATATGGAAGGATGTTCACATAGTCTAATTTAAGGTACCATCTTAGCATGTAGGGACAGAGGAAAACTACTGATTGAAGTGAAATTTGCCTTATAACTTTGAGTGAAGTCTCCCAGTACCAAACTTCATCAAAAGCCATTGCATAGCTTCCAAGATAACGTGATAAGATGGAAGAATGGGATGACATCACCATCACGCATTCATTTAATATGATTCACACAAATCACACACAGCTGAACTGAAGCGGAATGGATCGCTTTTTAAAACTTTACATTTCAACAAACATCACATGACTGGATGATCAAAATTTCATCTGAATACCTCAAAAGGTGCTACATTAAAAATGTTTGGAGATTAGACTGTGAAGAAAATGGTATGATTTACCTTTTGAAACAACAACAGCCACTGGAGCATGGGCGTCATTGTTGTCACCTGAAACTGCCTGCAGGTGGACAGGAATCTGACCACAGTTACTGCCTCCAGCCAAACAGGATATCTGACCTGAAAGTGTTACTTTCAGCTGTGAAAATTCTATGCCAGTTAATATAGGACTATCCAGTACTTCTATCACATGTACTGCAGGGAAAAACCTATGAAAGAAGATAATATTGCATTATAACAACAGTACAATGTTGTGAATACCCAATTTCAGTTTCCTGACTCAAAGTACTTCCCCTGTTTATGGTTCAGTATTTATTGTCCCATAAAATTAGAAGCAAAGCATTATGGAATCCCAAATACTGTCTAAATATTGTAATGTTCTACTGTATGTCCTTTATATCATCCCAGCAGTTTTTTTTAATTCTCTGTGTGTGGGTATAATATTTGAAGTGTCCACAAAAGTTTATCTGCCAACGTATGTTTGGGAAACTCTGCCCTAATACATGTAAATTGTAAGGCACTCACTGCAAACCCATGGTCCTCTCCAGGCCTGTAACCTTCACTCTTCCCTCGTATTTACCAGGCCCCAAAAATACACAAAATTCACCAGTGTCTTGTTCTGCTTCAACAATTATTGGTTCACTAGTGCTTCCCTCCTTTGAGAGCACAACAAAGCTTGGTCGTTTTTCAGTACTTCCTGATTTCAGTTTATGAGGTGCCACATGGCCACATACTTTGAATGAAGTTGGAAAAATATCCACCAACTGTGGAGTGTTTGGTGATATCTTCACATTTATTTCAGGGAATTTCATATCACCTAGAAAAAAGGTAACATAACATCTCACACAATCTTTGAAAGCAGCAATAATAATTTCTTTTCAATTATTTCAACACACAGTTGGTCACAAAAAAGCTCTTTGCAGTAACTGTGACATAATAAAATAAATAAATAACAGTAAAATTTCATAAAAATAATACCTCTAAGCAATACTGTAACTTACACAGAATATCTTTATAATACCAATAAAATAAAGCAACAGACAGGCTGCAGACCATAGTTAAGGCTGGAAAACCAGAAGAGAAGACAATGCCACTTGGGGGGCTTTGGCCTAAATGAATGGATCGAAAAATGTGAGGTTATGGACCAATTTCAGGTGACTCAGGCTAGGTAATGGCAGTTATCAGCTTCTCAAAGATTTCATTCTGTGGAACTAAGTTGAGTAAATTTGTGGTATTAGAGACTAAAGTAATTTTCAAAGCTCAGTACTAGTCTCTAACTGGGTTTCACAACAAGTAATTCTTGACCAGCTGAATACCCATGAATTATACATTCACTCGCATTAAACATCCCAGACCAAATACTGTAGGTGTAGTGTAGAAGAGAATAAGAAACATCTTATTTGATGTGCACAGCCAAATGAATGCTAACATTAATAAAGATGCAATTCCTGCAGAAATATCACCATCACTGCTTTAGAACATCTAGAATTTTGTCACAATCTGGTAACAAGTTACTCACGTGCTTGTACTTGCAGTATATATGAACCAGCTTGCAGGTTCTCTAAATGGTAGCTTCCATCTTCTTTGGTCACACTGCTTGTCTTTCCAACAAGCAACACAATGGCTCCCTCAATTCCCTTCCCTCCTGCCTGCAGCACCACTCGCCCACTTACACTGAAGCCCTCTACCTAAAGATAACAGAAGCTGTGTTTACCCATAAGCAGACATTTTACTCACTGTTGCAGGATGTTTAATTTATTTGATGCCATTTACAACTGAAATGATAAATCTGAACTTTTCCCAACATTTCAAAATAATTTCTAACTCAACAACAGAAGTTACTGTGAAATTATTCTGCTTACCAGATGAGTCAACCAATAGAAAATGATTAAAAATAAAAACAGTTGAACTTACTTCAAACTCGGTAGCAATTTTAAGACTCTCATGTTCTACTGTGAAGTCAATTTCAACAGGCTTGACATCAAATTTGATGCTGTGAGGTCCCTCATAATGTGGAACTAATTTATATGAGCCTGGTGGTATTGAAGGAAAAGTGAACTGCCCCTTTTCATTGGAGATAACATGACACAAAGGTGACGGTCCACTTGTCTTGAAGCCTTTAAGTGGAATCTTATCACAACCTTGGATGCCAGTCACTGGAGCAGACTGAAATATAATTCAAATTCTAATGAAATTTATAAAGCAGAGAAAAATATGTTCTAGTCCATAGGTGGCCCACATACAGTTCAATGAAAGCTTCAAATTGGGCCAAATGCAGCCTTTTAGAGGGTTTTTATGCAGAATACGGGATAAAAGTTTAGTTATTGTTCTAGGCAAAATTTAAGCAAACTAATGATTTACATACCCCTGTGGCTTGAAATAAGACAAAACTAACTCCTTTGATGGGTTCCTTATCACTGGTAACCAAACCAGAAACATCATAACCTACAACAACCAGACTGTTGGGAGGGATGTTGGCATTTTCCTTGCTAAGATGAATCACCACTGAATCCTTGCTGAGTTTCCATGTGGGGTGAGAAGCTTTGACCAAATATTTCCTTGGCAGTACGGGTGTGAAATGAAAGTCACCATTTTCTGATGTCAAGGTATCTTGTATTGGAAGTGATTCCTGATGATTATCAGAAAACAAGGTAACCTTCACCCCTTTTGGTCCATCCTGGCTACCAGCACTGATAACCTGAAAATATTTCATTTCAAGGTAACTAAAAAAAATTGTTGTTATTTATAAAAACTCAAGCTATCAGTCAATGAACCAGTTAAACAACATTAAGTCTAGTGGAGCTTGAATGACTGGTCAGCTTCATTCATTGCTCTCTTGTTGTTAAGTACTTGAACAGTGAAAACTGGAAGATCTACATGTACTACATATACCAGTCACTCATAACATTAGTCCCTGAGACAGTCTCTGAAATGTCAGATTTCTACTATGCATCATTGTGGCTGATTATCATTGCATTTAGTTGACAAAGTTTATATTTTCATAGACTGTGGTGACTGCAACAATTCTATTTTAACTCATTACAATTACATGGACCAAATGACTGAATACTGTGTTGATGAACTGTCGATGTCTGTAACTAACTGTGCTTACTTTAAACATGAAGTTTATAAGATTGCTGCCTTCTGGGTTGTTGCACCGTGCAGTCTGGTAGATGTCCACCAACATTTCAGAGGTCGTGCTGCCTTCGTCATTGCCCTGATGACGGAGGCAGCATGACTACTGAAACGTTGGCGGACACCTACCAGACTGCACGGTGCAACAACCCAGAAGGCAGCAAACTTCAGACTCACTGCTGTGAAAACCTCAAATCTTACACGAAGTTCATACATTTTTCTTGATTGCAATGATTGGTAATCTCAACTACACCAGCATACAGAACTATGTGTACTTAATGTGAAGATTTAGAACAAAATGTGCTTACTTTCCCTGTTATAGCAAAGCCCATAAACACAAAGTTGATATCTTTTCCTTGGCTGCATTGATCAGTGATTCCATCCACATTCAAAATTACTTCCTTTGGCTCAAAGCTCCATCCTGCAGGGGGCTCAATCTGGAAGAAAATTAGTTCTCTGAGCAACACTAACTGCATGAATCCCCCCTCCAAACACAAATGACAGGCAAATGCAGAAACATGTCTGTAGCCATTGGCAAAACTGAAGATAAAATCATCAAAGATGTCTATGGTTTCTGATTGCCTCATATACAATTTAGATTACACAAAACCAGTTTAAATCTGATTATGACTTTCAGTCTCTGTCATTTGTTATTACTGATATTATCAGCAGCAGTTTGTTTGGGAAGTTATAATCCCTTACAATTAATATTTACTTAATGTAACAGGGATCAGTGATAAAATGTTACATAACCATAATTAAATAAAACTGTCAGATTTAAGTGATAGAAATATATCCTGCATTTTTGTTTAACTATATGTTCTGTCATGCTCCTTTTATTCTACTTGCTTCTCATTTCCCATTCTATTCAAAATAAAAATGTTCCCCAACTCTTTTGGCATAACAAATGCAAGATTTAATTTTTAGTAGGTGATGAGAGAAAAGTTTGAGAACATATTTTTCAATGTAAATCTGATGCAGTATCACTGTTACATCATGCTCAGTGAGACATGACTTGCAAAGATATGATTCTTCAGAATAGACAAGAAATATGCAAGTTACAGGCAACTCCAGTAGTACCTAGTAGGTATATTGCATGTATCAAATTTTCATGGGTTGTCCCATTTCCTGAATGCAGGCGTTTTATAACTATGTCAAAGAAAGTGTCCAACACATTGGTGTTTCTGGCTTATATTCTTGGTTTGATTTCAAGAGTTTATTTTTAATTCTTGTTTGTATTTAGCTTCATTCTTCTTGTGTATTTCCACAATTTTTATTGTACAGTTTCTTACCAACTCCCCAGATAACATCTGATCATAGCAGCTTATATACTTTTAAATTACAGTTGTAAAATGTCTGTTAACAGGAATTGCATGTTTTTTGGTAGATATACCACATCCATTGTTGCCTTCGGTGGACTAGTGATTAACATGCTTGCTACTGGACCCGAGGTTCGCGGGTTCAAACCTGGCCAAGGTCGATAGATTTTTAAGGGTGAAAAAAATAGCACAACTTCCTTCGGAGGGGAAGTAAAGCCTGGCGTAGATTTACAGCATGTAAAAGAACCTTACAAGCATGAACAAGATGTTTTATAAGCAAAATTTAGTGACCATTTCTCATCCATGTCTCTCCTGATTCTCTACTAGATGGCTCTAGCAGACAAAATCAGGATTGAGTAGAAATTGTGCACAGGCAGTGGGCTGGTCACTCTCTACTCACAAATGCACACTTAAAGACTAAGAAACCTCCAAAAGGAGGTGGTGCACACCCACACTGGGTTGTAGAGCCATTGAAGAAGAAGAATACCACATCCACTGTGTATAATATTTAATACACAATTGTTTCTGTTAAGAAATAACTAGGTTCTGCCTACCAGCATAAGGATGGAAATGTCTTGTTATGTTGAGAATACAAGCAAAAGGATAAATTCTAGAAGTGCAGTAATACCGAGTGTAATAAATCTTTGTCAGATTGAATTACACATTTTACCTTCAAGACATACTCTCCTTTATCATACAGTGGTAGAAAATAATAGCCATTGTTTGGTGCACAATCAGTATGGTCCTTTAAGCTTCCTTGCTTGGTATACCTTAAAGTGAAAAATTAATTATACATGGGTAATTAAGTATAATACAGAGGAAGAGTTCACAATCATGTGTGGCCAGTTTGCACTTTGTTTCATAAATACTTGCTCTACTTTGGGCTTGAAGCAGCATGGAAAGTTGTAAGAACCTGATTAAACTTTTTATAAACAAACAATATAGTCACATGGCAGTTACAATTGTACTCCATCAAAAGAATTAACATTCAAACAATTATATAATATGATAAAATATCAAAATTACAAGAAGCTGTGCACCACATCTCTTATCACCATTGTCCTCAACGGCTTAAGTACTTATGGATCTTGATTTTCAGAATGAACAACGAAAAGGTTCAGGGATGAGCCACGTCAAATGTTGAAAATTATCCAACGTTTCGGCACACACTGCAGTTGCCATCTTCAGGGCGACTATACCACAATATTTGACGCGGCCCTACCCGAAAAGCGGGACTTGTACACTGAACTCCAGCAGTTCACACCAAAGGAACAATTGATTTTTATTAGTTTCACAGTTCACATAAGTACTAATCACAACTGTTTATTATCCAAAACACCCCACTTCCTTTACCGGGCCAAGCAGCGTTTACGGTAGCATGCTTCATTTAAATTGCCTTATTAAATTGCATCAGTAAGTGGAATATACTTACAATTTTACTTCTACCTGAGAAAAATTAATATCTAAGTCACTTTTAACAAATCCTCCACAACCCAAAATGTCTTCTGCATTACAGACTGTAATAAAAGTTAAGCAAATGAACACTAACAAATTTTTCGGGGAATAATTCATTATTCTGCAAGCAGTACTCCTTCGCAATCCGTGCTCCTTCGGGCCAATATTGAAGCTTCACAGCTGTTTATAAATGAAGCATGTAAACCAACTTCTGAAGAAATACACCAAGTAGCGTGACACCGCTTGATTCTTTAGCAGTTCACTCGTTTTGGAAATCTATTTCCTTTGCCCATTCAGTACGGTTGCCAATTTGTTTGTGATTCGGTACATGAAATCAGTGGCACATTTTGCTGCCCTCTTGCAATCCGCGTTACGGGGGCATGGGCATCATGAATTATGCAGTTTCAAAAGTGCTTGTTTGTCGTTCAGACGATGGTGGCAGCCAGCACCTCTGATATGTCGATAACTTGTACCAGGCTACACGGCGCAACATCCAAGAAGGCAGTCATCCTTCAAAAACAACGTTCTCCGTCATTTAGTATGCACAAACTATTTTAGGCACATAAGATTGTTTGTAATGGCCTCATCTTCGTCCCATCTCACGAGTTTGCACGTCACGTTGGTGTGAATCTCATATAGGGGAAACTATGTTTTATATTTGCTGTATATTGGTGACCATGATACAACATCCTTGGGGTTTTGGGACCTCGGAATGGGAGTTTCAGAAGCAAGATGGTTGTGAAGTGATTTAAGTATTTTGAGTTTTCTACTTTATTTCAATGGTCTTCATAGTTTTTGAGAAAACGATTTTTATATGTGATAGCACGTGTGATATGAATTACAGTAACGAATAAAAATGCATTTTTCTATTCCTGATACAGAAGAATTTAGCGATGAAAGTGGTTCTACGTATATGGTAAGAACTGTCACTAGAAATGACTGAAATACAGGTGTCATATTGTTGGACGGGGGTGGCATTTTTATGTTTACAATTTACTGGTTTAACTTTTTATTTGCTAAGGTAGGCGTTGTACCTACCGTTTTTATTTATAATTACATCTAAATTAGTGAGGGTACAGTGCTTTTAACTGCCAAGATACTTTCAGATTACATTGTGTTTAGCGAAAGATTAAAAATGTGTTACTTAAGGTTGATTTTTACTAATATATTGGTATTGAGGTAATTAATAGGACTCTGAAAGTAAATGATTAGACTTACATAGAATTGAAAGATGTCTTGAATAAGATTGTAACTTGTGTTTACCAGGTATTGGTATTGTAGTCTAGAATTGTAAGCAGTTAATAGTTTTAGACACAATATGTGCAGGTTTAGTATAAATTCGGTTGTGCAGATATTTATTCCATTCTGATCAGTATGTACATGTTGATCTGAACTGTCAGGAACATAAGTGAAGTGAAAGTTATCCTAAAACATGGGAGTAAAGTTAAATGCATTTTCAGACTAATCAGTTTATGTGCCATTAAATATAGATATCACTAAATTTACAACTTTTATTACAAATTATTTTTGGTGTTTACACAAGGAAAAATAATTTGTGACTGCTGTGTGGTAAAATGATAGCTTTGCAACAGTGTAGACATATGACCAATGCCAATGAGGGAACACACGTGCTCTTCATATTGGAGTCACTTTTTCATTTCTGTTCCCTCTGTATAATTAAGTGTGTTACTTTGTTACATAATTTAAAATATATTGTTTGTATTCAACAGGGCTACAACATCCACATAAATGGAGTATTTCACTGTACAGTTCGATATCGACAGTTGCACAACCTTCATGAGCAACTCAAGAAAGAATATGGTGCCAACAATTTACCTGTCTTCCCACCAAAAAAACTTCTCCCGTTATCGTCCAGTCAGCTGGAGGAGAGACGTGCAATGCTTGAAAAATATATTCAATCAGGTAACATCTTCTTTTGATACATTTGACATTTGGGTTTGTTTACTAAGGACCATTTTCATGTTAATTTTTTAAAAAAATTATGATAATTAAATTTGAGTTGTACATATAATTTTAAATTTTTTAGAGCAACAAAGGAGCGTGCATATTCTTATAGCACAATGTAGCAGTTACGTTTCAAGCCTAACTAATAGTACTGTGTATTTAACATATGCAGACTTGGGAAACTTAACATGTTCTTGTACCAGTCAGCCAATTTGTAGAAGTACACAGTGAAATGTTTTTTTAACAAACATAACATACAATGTGTCTGGTACGTTTTTTTTTTTTTTAGATTTTTATTGTACATCCTGTAGTAAAGTGTTTGAAGGATTTATATCTCCTGAATAATTCTCCTTTGTGTAGACTGGTATGAATTTTGACAGGTAATTAATATTTCTGCATAGTTATACACTACTGATATATGTAAATAAATAAAAGAATCACAAGCCTTTAAAAGCAGTGCTGTGGAGAAGTCAGTTTCCTGCACTCTTACTCTTTAGTTGTAAAAGCCAGAATAGCAGGAAACTGCCCTGCTTTTGTGAATGCATTTAGTTATAGTTGTAACTAGTTCAGTGGTCTAATCTTGACAACAGTTTGTAGTACAATACAACTCTTTACATTGTGTCTTTTAATTGTTGTTGTTATTCTTTCAGTTGGGCAAGATCCTCGGCTGGTGAATACAGACCTGTTTAATGGTTTCCTGCTCTCAGCACAACAAGAAACAAGTTGTGAAAAGAGCCAAGAGGTTCCATTAGATGTCTTCCTTATGAATGGATACAAGATCTCCTTAAATGTTGTGACAACTGAGAGATCTGACCAAGTTCTTGAGGTATGACCTCAATAATTAAGTTCTAGGGCTTGAAGTTTTTACAGCAATGTGAGTTCAGACTGTTTGGGTTGTAGCACTGTGTAGTGTTCTGAAGTGACTTTGTAGAAGACTGGTGGATTAGGAAATCATTCTTTCTCAGGACTGGTGAAGCCAAAATGGCGTTCTGGTGGAAGATTATTACCCACTGTCCTACGTGAGCGATTAAATGCGACCAATGCAAGCTACGTGGGTGACGCGGAAATATCACACTGGCTGTTTGTGTGGCGCTTCCCTAGGTTCCAGCGAAGCAGTCAGGAGAGGGAAACGGCCAAAGTCCAAGATCAAATATTTTGATATTTTCTTGCAAGTCGTGCTGGCCAGTAAGGCGTATGCGCAAGAAAGCTCTGATGTGCAGTACAGGGAAGGTGCATGCGCAGAAAGGCCATGTGCTTCTCTTGCGGTCTCTCGTGTAGGACACAACAAGCGATTCCCTCACTTCATATGACACCCCGTGCAGCTTATGCAGCTCACGCAGCTCATTTGTTATCGCTTACGTAGGACATTGCCTTAGAGTTCAGTTGCATGTACTTCATGAAACACTTCATCACTAAATAGGTGATATAGACATGTCTTATGATTCCTTTGAGATCATCAAAAATTAAGATGTCACGTTCAGAGGACTAGGTGATGAGTCCAAATGAGGGAAAGTATACAAAAGAAATTAGTGAATGAATGCAGTTATTGATGCTGTGTGTGAGCAAGGTGAATTGTCTGTTTTGGAGTTTTTGTACTTCTCCTTCCCTGTAGTAGGTTGCATAGCTGAGAATATTCTGTTGAAGACAGATGATTTTATATTGTATCACTGCACGAAGTTTCTTACATCTGATGTACTTGTATTTGTGTCTTCCAGAAAGCCTGTCATCAGCTGAACCTGCCGAATGAATATGTATATTACTTCTCTCTTTTTCTGATAAACCGAGAAGAGGATGGCGATATAACAAGTAACTTTACAGTTATTTAAAACATTATCTTACATTTTGATCCTTTTTTTAACTGTAATTGTTTTGAATATAATTTGAAAACCTCTCTTGAAATGTCTTTAGCTGACTGTGGTTTTGTACACTAAAATGAGGAAAACCGTTAATAAATAAGTGTAATTCTTGATGACAGCACTGGTAATTGTGAGTGCATCAGTAAGTATAAGTTACAGGTTGTCAGATTTGAACCCTAACCTACACAAAGCTCATCCTGCATAAAATATAAAATATGGACCATATTATGATTGCTCAGTCAGTATAGTGACTAGCTACGGGCTGGACGACCGGGGTTCGATCCCCGACTGGAGCAGAGGATTTTTCCTCTAGCCTCTGCGTCCAGACCGGCTCTGGGGCCCACCCAGCCCCCTCTACAATGGGTACCGGGGGCAAAGCTGGCCAGGGTGTGATGCCGACCACTCACCCCCATATAGTGCCGAGGTCAAGAAAGAGGAGCTATACCTCCACTCACCCCAAGCACCTTTAGCGCACGTAGCGGGACAAAACTTTACTTTACTTTACTTTTACAGAATTATATATATTTATTTATTTATTTATTCCCCCCCCCCCCCCCCCCCCACCCCCCCCACCCCCCACCAAGCTCATCCTGCATAAAATATAAAATATGGACCATATTATGATTGCTCAGTCAGTATAGTGACTAGCTACGGGCTGGACGACCGGGGTTCGATCCCCGACTGGAGCAGAGGATTTTTCCTCTAGCCTCTGCGTCCAGACCGGCTCTGGGGCCCACCCAGCCTCCTCTACAATGGGTACCGGGGTCCTTTCCCGGGGGTAAAGCCAGCCTGAGCGTGATGCTGACCATTCACCCCCATCTAGTGCCGAGGTCAAGAAAGAGAGGAGCTATACCTCCACTCACCCCAAGCGCCTGTATGGCACGTAGCGGGACAAACTTTAACTTTAATTTGAAACATTTTTTTCTCTACTGTGAATAATCTGTTTTTTGACATACTTATTTTATATGTTCTTTCCTTTGTAGTTTTGAGGAAACTGCAGGACTTTGAATCTCCATACATATCAGAGAAATCCATCCAAGGTGTCCATCGTGTTGTTCTCAGGAAAAGGTAAGCAGCTTGTAAAATGAAGATGGTGGAATTTCATCTCCATTCTTATAGACTTTTCATTTCAATCTGCCATCATATTTGTTGGAATTCCGTATAATTTCAAATTTAAGTAATTCATACTGATTTAGTGGTGGTGTAATATCACAGATGATGTTATGTGGTTCCATATAATTTTGAACTCTCAAAGTATATGTCATATGGGAGATGGTTTAGTCATAAGGTGACAGGTTATGAATTAATGGCCAGGGTTCAATTCCTGTTATGGGCAGTGGAATATTCTCTTCATCTCTACATCCAAAGTGGCATGGAGACTATATTACTGCTATGTTCTAATTTTAATGACATTAAAGCCATATTACTTATCTTTTTTATTAGGAATGCAAATTTGTATACAATAAACATTTAACTAACTAAAAAGATGGAACAAGCAGATTGGTGTAATGTACTTGGGATGTACTCAGTTTGAATCTTTGCCCCTCTGCTCTTCACAAGTGTGATCATCTTCTCTTTTGATGTTACATAAACCCTGCAATTGATTTAAGCATCATTAGTTAATCAAAGAATGAATCATAAAAAGGAAAGAAGTTTCTTAATGATTCTGATCATTATTCATCCAGCTATTGGGATCCAGGCTATGACTTGGAGCTCATGTCAAACCAGGTGGCTCTCAATATGTTGTACGTACAGACAGTGGCTGATGTGGAGAGAGGTTGGGTACTTAGCAGCAAGGAGACAAAGCACCAGTTGGCTTCATTGCAGGCTCGGGGAGCTAAGAAGGAGGTAGAGTGAAATCTCAATTTCAGGTTTTTAATCTAAGGTTTTCCTACATTTTGCATTAATTTTTTCTGCTACATAGCCTTAGAAGTGAATTTAAATAGTGAGTTTTGAGGTTGTCATGGTGGGCTTGTAGCACTGTGTAGTCTGGTAGAAGTTTACCAATGTTTCAGAGGTGTTTGCTGTCTCCATCATCAGGATGATGGCCTGCAACAACCCAGAAGGCATCCATCTTGAATTTAAAAAGTCATAAGTGTAAGATTACCAGGAAAAGGTCAATTAATCTGATTTATGGTGTAATCTTTTGCTTTTAACTGTGCCTGAAGATTAAGTTCATTTCTTGTAGACAATGAGTTAAGAACAATTTTGTTTTAAACTATGCTATTCTGTTTTTCAGTACCTGGATCTGGCTCGCACATTAAAGTACTATGGTTTCCTTCAGTTCCGGCCATGTCTTTGTGACTATCCCCACCCTGGTTCTCGAGTATTAGTGAGTGCTGGTAACAGGGAGTTGAATCTACGTATAAGACTGGCTGAAGGACAGGACATGAGGGAGGGTAGTTTTAAAGTCGCACGGATGAGGTGTTGGCGAATTACAACATTGCACAATGTGAGTGAAGCTTATGTATTACTAGTATAAAAAGCCATTGAAATTAAATGGGGAATATCTGTGCTTTCTTCTGTATTTGTTTCCATCCTTAAACCAAACTTTATCAGGGAAAGGTGTGATATAAACACAGTACTAGAAACTAATGTGCTGCTCTGTAATATATTGGTTAAACAGAACATGCCATTACAGGAAAACAACAATAAAAAATTTTAGCTGTACTATTTCTATGTATTGTCCCGCACCGTAGCCGCATGGTCTGAGGCATCATGCTTCGGAACGGCGATACGGAATGCGCGCTGGTTCAAGTCTCGGGGAAAGAAATTTCTCATGAGAATTTCGACCGGTGTATGGGACCGGTGCCAACCCAGCATCGTGAGGAAATTGGGGAGCTACAATGAGTAGCGTAATCCGGTCAGGAAAGCTAGCGATGGCTGGGGTTCGTCGTGCTGACCACACATCACCCTATATCTGGTTGGATGATCGTTCACCTCTGCTTAGGCATGTGAACGTGAGTCAAGCTAGTCGGCTTTGGCTATCTGGAGCTGTTACGCCACGGATTTTTTTTTTTTTTAATTTCTATGTATTACATAATTGTCATTTTATTCTATAGGTCCATAACCATTTAAATGTCTCCTCTGCAAGTGAAATCAAGCAACAAAACAAGCATCAGGCTGGTTTTTATATGGTGTAGATTCTTGGGTGATTGTGGAATATTTGTTTATATTATGTACTTCTTAATCTGTTAACTTTTTGACTACTATTGTTGGTAGAATCCAGTTAATTTTATATCGG